TCTGTAGTCGGTCGCAGTTGGCCTTGTGTAAGAGTATCCACTCACTCGAGGACTGGGTAGTTGTATCTGTCCCGAATCGTCTCGTGGAAACAGCGGTGGTTCAGTGTCCAGTCCGAGAAGGATTGTAGCCATTCGTCGGGGACAGCCAATCCGTGGTAACGCAGGTTTTTCTCTGCTGACGATTCTTCGGTCTTTGGTCTGTTCTTGGAGTGGTGAGACAGAGCCTCTTCTTGCCAGGTCTTGTTGAAGATCGTCAAGGGGATTGGTCCTTTCAATTCGAGAAGATTCTTGTGAAAGTAAGGGGTGAACCCTCCGTCATTGTGGGAGTTGGTGTTCGCCCAGTTAAACTTAATCCCTCTAACCTGGGTTGTGCCTTCTGACTCGAGTGGCCTCTTTCTGTTGGCGGTTTCTGGGAGCGTTTGGGATGAGGAACCGTTGCCTTTCGCATTCAGTGATGGAGGGGACTCTTTCGACAAGGTATCGAACATTGCGAGGAATCTGTCGGCTTTTGCGTCGTCGCCTTCTTCTTGCGCCTTCACCGCTTTGGCCAGGAGCATTTCTTTTGCCTTGGCGTTGGTTGATCTACCGTTTGAGAGTGGTTCTCTCCCTTTTGCTGCCATACTCTCCGTGTCATCTATGATCTCGACTTTTTTTTTCGTCAGCTTTGGCTTGCCTGGTTTGGGTTGAGGAACGTTTGAGTCGCTCACCTATTGGGGTTTTTAGCGTTGACCTGGTCACCGAGCCTTGCAAGGCCGGATCCGGCTCTACCGTCTTGGCGGATGTAGTTTCTTTTCCTTTCGGATCGGGGGCTATATTGGCTGTGTGCCTGGTTTCTTTGCCTTGAGGCTGAGTTGTGGTTTTGGATAGGGAAGGATTTGGGATGGGAATTTGGCTTGGATGCTGATTCGATGATTGGGATTGGTTCGCTTGTTGTGAAGAGTCTTTGACTCGGTCACTGAGGGACTGTATTGGGTTGGACATCGAGCGAAGTAGTAACGAGGTTGTTGGATAATTAAGACTGTTGCCGAAAATGCCGAAAAACCAGAGAAGGAAAAAGGCTGGGGAGTTAGGGAAAGCTGGCGGGAGAACGGCGCAGGCGGGAGTGGTAGGAGGACGGTTGTCGGAGGATGGGTAGTTGATGAGTGAACTTGGGGAAGGAAGGAGACCGTGCTAGCTATCGGCTCTTCCCCTCGACGCCCGGACCCACAAGGTTTTCCATCTTTGGAGCGCAGCTCTACAGGCGCAGCGCGTATCCGCCGGGGCTGGACGGTGGGTGGGGCCGGGCTGCGGGACGACGTCCTCCATGGACACGCTCACATTCCCGCTGCTCTCCCATTAATGCTCCATGAATGTCCAATCTACATTGTCCAGCTTTCACAATGGAGCTAGTCGGAACAAAAAGGATCGCCCAACGTGGGGCTCGAACCCACGACAATTCGATGCCTGCGACGGCTCCTCCGGCCACCGGACGGGTCGGCGGGGAAGATCGCCGAGAAACTCCATGACGTAAGAGTCGAATGCTCTACCAACTGAGCTAGCCGGGCCACGATGGCTTGCAGTCAGGGGGCCTGTGTGAACAGCGGAAGCCCCCTTTGGCAAGGACCCCTGGTCACTTTTTTGGCAACTTTGTCTCTTGTGCTGCACAGCTGAAGCAGGTCCGGAGACAACTCTGCTCGACACCGAGAGAGACCGAGAGAAGCCGGGATGGAACAAGTTCAACAAGAGATCAAGCCGAGTGAGTGAGATCGATTTGATTATCGCATTTACCTTAACAGGCTTTAAAGGTTTTTGATGATGATGATGATAGTTGTTTGATTTAGTGTCTTCTCAACCTCTTTATAACCAGTTCCACCAGCAATAACCGGTCTCCAACTATTGAACTCGTTGAAAACATATGAAGCGTTTTCGACCGGCCATAGACAAATCGACTGTCAACTTTGGTCTCGACCTTTGAAACGAAACAGGGCTGATTCGCCGACAGTCTATCCTGCAGTCACCGGCTTATCTAGACGTCAATTGTTGCAAGTCGATGGTCCTCCCGGTTCAGGAAAAACGAAACTCGTCATCGGGCTTGCCGTGCGAGCTCGTGGCGCAAGCCTGGTGCGACAGGGAGCCAACGAACAAGTCGAAGTTTTGTTAATTGGTGAGTTTGGAAAAAGGAAGAAATTCGAGCAAAAACCCGCGCCAAAAATCTCTTTCATTCGAGGCCACGAAATTCACAGGCCTTTCTTCGACCTCTGATCTTTTTTGGATTTAATGGCTCGACGTGTGAATTGGAATGGGCAAAAAAAAGACTCAGATGGGAGTTTACACCCGACCCTCATTCAAAGATCAGCGGAAGCTCTAGTGAAATCATGCTACCAGGACAAAGATGACGGCAAGCTAGTCGGTCGAATCTGTGATGGATGCCATCTAGTCAGGATTACATCGACGGCAGAACTAGGATTCTTCTTCAAACATCTACCCACTTGGTTGAAATCTCATTCCAAGGTACCTCCCCCCATCCTCCACCTACCTAAAATCTATTATTTTCCTCTATATCCAGTTATTTATGAACAATAACCAACTTGATCACTTGTTTCATGTTTTTATCGATCAGGTTAAGCTAGTCATATTGGATTCAATCACTGCGCATACGCGGTATGTTAGCATGTCCATCACCCAGAGGAAAACGATCGCGAAGATCATCAAGGAAGGCATCACAGTCGCATCAATACAACATGATTGCGCCGTATGTTGTGACTTTCGCCCCTCCTTCCAGAGAATCATCCCAGACCGCAAACCGTCATAGAGACAGTTCGCAGAGATTGACAGCCAGCAATTGTTTTGTTTTTTTTGCCATACGGAGAAAATAGGTGGTCATTACGAGCCAATTGGCGACCAAATCAGTGGTCAACCAAGCCTCCTATACGAACATGAAGATCCTCACTCCGCCGGATTTTGGCCCGAATTTTTGGGCAAAGGATGACCCCTCAATCACCAACTCTTCATATCCATCTAAACTCTCAAGAGTTTGTTTGATGTTTAATTTCGATGGGACTAGGAGAGCTATCGTGCTTGAGAATGATAAGATTATTCAACCTAGACTTAATATTTCATTCGAAATTGATGTAAGTGATTTTTTTCCGTCTTCAGTTTTAGGCATATTGATCCCATCTTGTGATTTTAATCCAAGTATCTGTCTTGGACATTGTTTTTCATACATCCAACTAATGCTGTACTTTTTGTTTTGGTAGGAGATAGGGATATTTGATCCATCAGTTTCCAACACAAATGAGGCGTCTAATGCGACTGAGTAGAATATATTGACCCAAATGATAAATTTTTAGATGATTTTGTGATTGACTTGAAAGTGAGCAATCAAGTGTCTTGATTTTTTTTGATTAATTTATTTATAGGATTGATTGTAATTGTTTTGCAAGTTCATCTGTTACCTGATTGTTAAGAAAGTTATATTGGAGATGATTGATGTAGTCAATTAAGCAGTCCATAGATCGCAATCAAACTTCATTTCCACAAAGATGGTGACTTGTTGTATTTGAACTGACATCTAAGCAAACCCACACCTTGTGGATTGAAGAACAAACATACCAAAGAAGAGACCAAGATATGTAAGCATGGACTATACAACAAATACTGGCAGAGATTTAGATGAGGCCCAAAAACCACTAGAGTGGATCAATCCCTGTCAATATACTCTACAAATCCTAAAGAATCAGATTTAGGCAACTTGATCCCAGTTTTTCCAAGGAAATCTGGTTCAGAAGAGGCTACACTGCAGAGGCTGGAAAACACAAAGGGAACTTGGTAGTCAAGTCCTCCACTGTTTTTTTTTTTTTTTTTTTTTTTTTCTTTTTTTTTTTTTTCTTTTTTTTTTTTTAATTTATGAACAATGCTTGTCAGAGGGTTTCCAAATCTGCAAATTTGCACACACAAGAGAAGCAATGGGATTGAGCTTCTCAAGAATCAGAATTTCACTGATAATATATATTAGTCACATTTTTCCAAGCACATGTACTATAAAGCATTACTTGATGCCCCAGTTGCCTGCAGGTGAAAAAAAAAAATCACATCATACATGCCCCAGGCACAAGCCTCAAGGTCAACATTTATTTGCTTGTTTTTTTTTTTGCTTTTTTTCAGCTAACAATCTTATCAACATACCCATCAGAATCAATTCCAAATCTCTTTTTCCCAGATGTGTAATAAATAATGACCAAAAATGTGCAAGTTTTGTTTTTGTTTTCACATAAAAAGTAAAAACAGATGTTGACCAATATAAGCAGATAAGGCAAAGTCAAACCAACGAACAAAACTGGGAGGCCTTTCTTTCTTTTTTTTCTTGCAAAAACACTTGTCTAAATAAACATGCTGATATTTCTCAAGCTCTAGTTTCTTCTTTTGTAGTGATGTAGTAGATAAAAAGGAGAGGATAGGGGAGAACCAAAAACTGACAATGATGACAATAAGAATGAGAAGATACTCAGGAGCACACCATGAACACATACATTTTTTTTTTTTTCAGTAAACCAACCAACCAACAAAAAAGACAGTTAAGTTAACATTGGAATAAACAAACAAAAACAAACAAAAAAGGGTCATGAAGGTTCCAAACACAGAAAGAACCCCAATACATGAATTTGTAAGAAGAAAAAAATGCAGGAAAGAGAAGACTATAATCGGGTCTTTTTGTTATGGATGAAATGAGGAGAGGAGGTAGTAGTAGCAGTAGTAGTCATATTAGGAGCAGAAGAGGAAGAAGGTTGAGAGGAGATGGGAAGATGATTAAAAGGGTTAGAAAGGAGTTGGTGAGAGGTGAGAGGAGTCAAAGCCGACTGTGGAGGTCCAGGATCGTCGAGTAATCGTTTACGGGGAGGATGAGGAGGAGGGTTGGAAATGGCAGTGCCAGGATGGGAGATAGAGTGCCCATGTCGATGTTCAGTGGGAGATTTCTTGCTGGACATGATGCGACGAAGATGGTCGTCGTCGTTGAGGTCGAAGGCAACGCTAGCTGAGCTCTTGGGAGCTTCGATCGAATGAGTCGTCAGCGGCTTGTCCACAGACGACGACGATGCCACCGGATCCTGGAAGGCAGCCGTCGAGCCCCCTGGCTGGCCCGCCATTCGTGCCTCGCTCTCGTTAAGCTCCAGTCGAGGCGTTGGCACCGGAGAGACCAACGGCGTCAAGCCAGGGAGAATTCGGCTCGGATCTTGGCATGTCCATTCGTCAAGAAACTTCTCGATGTCTAGCGCGTCCATCGACGCGCTTGCTTGGCTTTGAGGATGCTCATCTGAGCGCTGCTTCCCGTTGGCTGCTGCAGAGACCGAGCGAGTCTGGATTCCGGCTGGTAAAACAACACTCATTTCAGTTCTGCGTTCTTCTTCATTTTCATATAACTGTCTATTCTCAGCCTGACTTCTATCCTCCGGAGGCACTGATAAATCTCGCCAAAAAATTAATAACATGACATGGGCACTTCATAGTAATGACGAGGGACTCACTCAAGGTTCTCAAGAATGCATCCGCATCGAAATCTGCTTGGTTGTCAGAAGCAATTTCTGCGGCTGAGAGATGAGATGCATTGAAGGGATTAGCGTTCTGATCGGTCTTATCCAGCTCGCTCGGATTTAGATAATCTTCCATCTGGTCAGGCAGATTGTTGACTAGTCTCTCGATAGCCGTTTCCAAACTGTCCATCTTGTTCGCAACACTCTCGATCCCATGAGCTTGTCTCTGAGTGTTTGAAATCAGTTGGGTACTCGAATCCGTGTTCATGTCCATTGGAGATGAGGATGGACGAGAAACTGGCCGTGTGCTATGTCCATCCGTGATCCTCAGGGGGCTAGGTGGATTCATGGCCGGCTCGCCTTTGTCCTCGTTAAATCCACCCAGACCATCAGAGGATACAAGATCTGCCCAGTTGATGCTAGTGAATGGATTGTCATTGATGTTGAAACCTCCTGTTGAGGTATTATTGTTGAACAAGGCTTGCAAGACAGCATCAGGGCTGTATTGATCATTGGTAGAAGAGACTGGATTGTGAAGTGCTTGACCATTCGTCCCGTTTGCGTCAATAGAAGTTTCTAAGTTGGGATCGATCGACGAATCTTGAAATTGGGATGATTGGCCGACCTTAGGACTAGAAGCTACATGGGTTTTCAAACGGAGAGAAAGTTGATCAGAGACTGGGGTAGGAGGTTAATGAATATGCTTGACCCATTCTTGGAAAAAAAAAACAGAAGAAATTCTCACTGGTAGAAGATGTATGATGGGTAGATGGAGTAGGCGAGTGGGTATGGTTGCGATTGTTGGGGTTGAAAGACAAATTCTGTAACGAAGCATGGCCATCCAAAGATTTCCCAAAGCTACTTACGTTATCAGCTAATGGGTGAGATTGATCAGTGGAGGAATTAGAGGATGGCCTCTGGGTGTCCTCGAGCATTAACCTAGGATGTCGCATTTGCGAATACAGTGATAGGGCAGTATTTGAGGGGGATGATTCGTAGTTGAAGTTGTTTGGGTGAGGATGATGGTGGTGTTCTCTAGAACTTTTTGCTCGTGATCTATGTCGGTCTAGATCGGGTATGCTGCCTCCTTCACGCATCAAGATACCGATATGATGGTCGTCAGTAGTGTTCCGATTAAGATTCACGCCGTTTCTATTACTGCTCGGTCCAGAATTACCTAGTGGAGGATCCTCAAGGTTCGAGACCTTTCCCGCAAAGACCTGAGCCAAGAAACCCAAGATCTTATTAATGGTATCTTGACAGCGCTTGATTCTGTCTCGATTGGCAATGGCCTCTTTCCATAGATGGGCATTGGAACTTTGGAGGGTCTTGAGGTCTGAGGACATGAGTGTCTGATGTTTCCTGATCGCCAATATATCGACTAGTATGGCTTGCAGATCGGTAGTGTGTGGGACGGATGGATTGGATGGTAAGGGGGTAGAGCCAGTTTCGGTAGGTTCGTTTGGAGCTGGATTACTTGACTCAGGAACAGGTTTCTTGCGTCGAATAAGACACAAGAGATCCGGTTGGCTTCTTTGAAAGTTGATGTTGGTAAATTCAAGCCTGAACAAAGAAATAGATAGAGGGAGAGGGAAAAAGAAGGAGAAGTTAAGTGAGTTAATATGATCTTGATTGGTTATGGAAAGAATAAGACTGGTTGATCGAAGTACTCAGTAGTTAACGAAAGTAGGATTGATTGGGTCACACATTTCAGTCTCAGGTATTTCACCTTGCAGTACCCCCTGATTGAGATGGGGTACCTTGTGGAAGCCGTACATGTTGAGTTGCCTGACAAACGATCCAAAGTTTGAGTGCTTGAAGAACTTGGGTAATAACTCCCTTCCGAATCGTTCTGATGAGACAACAAAGAAGGAGTCGCCATTGGGTTCGCTCCACTTGATCAGATGATCGGTGTTCGGGTCGTTTACCATGCTAAATAGAGGAAGCAATGCAAATGTAGTCAGCGCTGGAACAGGTAATGACTTGTTATTTGTTTATGTGCAAAAAAAAAAAAAGGTCTTTGTTTTGATATCGTAGTAATGCATTATTTTGATTTCCTAGTTAGACTTGTGGGGAGATGTGAAGGGATAGAAGCAAGCAAGTAGTAGGACATGGGATTTTAAAAGGGTGTGAAATCGGACAAGTCAAGAGTAGAGTGACCGACGTGAATAGTTTAGTTACGAATGCTGGGATCGGTCTTTCGGTATTCCTGTGAGAGCTTCCTTTATCGACGGTCAACGCACCTGGATGAATGCGCTTGGTGATAGCCATCGATGGCTGATTGGGGTCGATGACTGTGTTGTTGGTATTCGGATATGATGGGCTGTTGGACATGGTCGTTCGTTAGTTTTCTTCTTCGTTGTTCGTTGTTCGTTGTTTCTGTTGTTGTTGGTTTCTGGTTGAAGTGCTTCTCAGGTAGTAGTCGTAGTAGTTGTCATTTTCTTCCTGATGAGTTTCTTGTTGGTTGGTTCTTTCTGTTGACCATCCCTCTGTTGACCTGACTGGTTTCAGCCTGGAGGATTACTAAAATTATGTGAACCCTGTCAGGGCAAGTGACACCCAAGTAACATATAACAGCCCGCAGCTCTCACACAACGGTGTGGAGACTTCATCTGCAAAAATTGGCAATATGGCACCAAAACATTTGCTCATTTGAGACAAGGTTGGTTTGTTGGTGGAATTGGCCTTCTCAAGGACTTGCACACTTTTCTATAAATCAAACTTAGAACAAGAACTGCCCTAATACACACAAATACATTATGTCCCTGTTTGCTTGAGCACTGCACAACAACC